TTCTAAAAGCGTTGATGCAACAAAAAAAAATTCAATTTCAAAATTTTGATTTTCTAATTTTTAAAAATAGGTTAATTAGGGTAAAATCAAATTTCTTGCTTTTTTTAACTAAATTAAGGCATATTTTCAAATGCAAACATGATGTTATGTGTGTCTGAACATATTCCAAATTATTTGATTTTATTCAATTTATTTAATATTTTTCATGCTTATTGCAGTTTTTATAATAATTAAAGAAATTATTAAATTAGTTAAAAAAAATTAAGAATGTTCATTTTATATGCATGATCATGTAGCCAAAATTTCATATGTATTGGATATATGCATTTTGTGTTCTATATTTTTTATTTATTAAGCCCCTCTTTTTAAACCATACAACAACAACAACATTAAGCATTTATCCCACTACGTGGGGTCGGCTACATGAATCATTTTTTCTCCATTTTGTCCTATTAAAGGTCAAATTCTCATTTAAATCTAATAAAAAAAGGTCATTCATAATATTTTCTAACCAGGTCTTTTTAGGTCTGCCTCTACCTTTCTAAACATAAGTCAAATCTAATACATCTACTCTCCTAACCGGGTCATTGGAAGGTCGTTGTTTTATGTGACCAAACCATCTAAGGCGACTCTCTCTAATCTTATCTTCTACTGGAGCTACTCCAACCTTTTCATGTATATGCTCATTTCGTATTCTATCTCTAAAGGTAAAGCCAATCATCCACCTGAGCATCCTCATCTCTGCTACACTTAACTTAATATTATGCTTCTCTTTTAATGGCCAACATTCAGCACCATAAAGCATTGCAGGCCTCACTACCATCTTATAGAATTTTCCCTTAAGTTTGAGGGGTACTTTTCTATCACACAACAAGCCCGATGCATTCCTCTACTTCAACCATCCAACTTGAATTATGTTGATAATATCCCCATCTATTTCACCATCACTCTGAACAATAGATCCAAGATATCTAAAACGTGTAATCTTATTAATGACTTGATCGCCCAAAGTCACAATCCTCTCACTAGGTCTATTACTACTAAAATTACACTCCATATATTCCGTTTTAGATCTACTTAAGCGAAAACCTTTAGTCTATAATGTTGATCTCCATAATTTAAGTTTACTTTCGACTCCCTCTCTAGTCTTATCAATAAGAAGAATATCATAAGCAAAAAGCATATACCAAGGAACATCCTCTTGCAAATGTCTAGTGAGAACATCCATAAATCAAGGAAAAAGATATGGGCTTAAGGCTGATCCTTGATGTAAACCAACCGAGATAGGGAAACACTTGGTCAAACCACCTTGTGTTTGAACACAAGTAATCGCTCATGCATACATATCTTTAATGATTTGAATATAAGCATTATTAACTCCTTTATTTTCAAGAACTCTCCATATCACTTATGTTGGAACTTTATCATATGCTTTTTCTAAATCAATAAATATCATATGTATAGCCTTCTTATTTTCTCTATATTTCTCCATCAAACCTCTTAATAAATGTATGACTTCCATAGTCGACCTACCCGGCATAAATCCAAATTGATTTTGAGAAATGTTAGTATCACGCCGCAACCTATGCTCCATAACTCGCTCCCATAGTTTTAAAGTATGACACATTAACTTAATTCCTCAATAATTCGCACAATCTTGTGTATCACCTTTATTCTTAAAAATAGAAATTAACATACTCATTCTCCACTCATCTGACATCTTTTTAGTCTTCAAAATAGTATTAAAAAGTTTAGTAAGCCAAGAAATTCCTTCATCTCCTAAGCATTTCCACACCTCTATTGGAATATCATCAGGTCCAACAGCTTTTCCACCCTTCATTTTTTTTAAAGCCTCTCTAACTTCAATTTTACTAATACGCCGATAAAAACATAAATCTTTATTTTTCTTTAGGGTGCTAAGATCACTATAGTCAATCTTATTTTCACAATTTTTATTAAAAAGTTTAGCAAAATATCTCATCCACCTTTGTCGAATATCATCTTCTAAGAAAAGTAATTTTTTATCTTCATCCTTAATACACTACACTTGAACTAAATCCTTACTACTATCTTTTTGTTTGGCTAACTTATACATATATCTTTCTCCATCCTTAGTATCTAATCTATTATATAAATCACTAAAAGCTAAGGTTGCATCACTTGAACTAAATCCTTAATACTATCTCTTTGTTTGGCTAACTTATACATATAATTTTCTCCCTCCTTAGTATCTAATATATTATATAAATCACTAAAAGCTAAGGTCTTTGCATCGCATATTGCTTTCTTATATTCCTTATGAGCCTCTTTATATCTTTCCTAATTATTAGAATTTTTAAAATTAAACCAATTTTTATAACAAATCTTCTTTTTATTAATTCTTTCTTACACATTTGAATTCCACCACAAACTATTTTTACTATTAGGAGCTTTTCTCTTTGATACTCCAAGCACATCTTTTGTAATATTCTTAATATCATCAGTCACTTTATCCCACATAATATTAGCATTCTCATGCACAAATAAAATCTTAAGATCTAAAATCTTATTCTCAAAAATATTTTTGTTAATATTCTTTAATGCCCCCATCTAATCCTAGAATATCGTTTTATTTTATTTTTTATTATCTGCCCCTTTATCTTAAAGTCCAAAACTAATAATCGATGTTGGGTATATAAATTTTCACTCGGAATAACTTTACAGTCTTTCCAATCTAACCGATATAATTTTCTTATAAGAAAATAGTCAAGTTGTGTTGTACTATATCCTTTTTTATAAGTGATGAGATGCTCATTCCTTTTCTTAAATAAGGTATTAGCAATTGAAAAATCATAAGCTAAACAAAAGTCTAAAATGGTCTTGCCACCTTTATTTGTTGTTCCAAAACTATATCCACATGAATGCTTTTAAAATCATCTACATCTACCAACATGTCCATTTAAATCTCCTCCAATAAAAACTTTCTTCTAGATGTATCTTTTGTAATAATTCTTCTAAGTCATTCAAAAAATTTAATTTAGAACTCATATCCAAACCTACTTGAGGAGCATAAGCACTTATAATATTAACAATCTTATCATCAACAACAATATTTAAAGCTATAATTCTATCTCCAATCCTATTAATTTTTATAACATTATCCTTCAAACTCTTATCTATAATAACACCTACACCATTTCTAGTAGAACTCCTATCCGAATACCAAAGTTTAAATCCTAAACTATCAATTTCGTTAGCCTTTTCTCCAACCCATTTAGTTTCCTGAATGCACAAAATATTTATCTTCCTATGAATCATAATATCTAATAATTCCATTAATTTTCCAGTAAGTGAACCTATATTCCAAGTTCATATCCTAATTTTAGTTTCATGGACTAGCTTCTTTGCCCACATCCATCCTTGATGTGGGAACACTTCCTTATTTAACACTGCACCTGGGCGTCGGTGCAGCGGCCCTTGCACACTTGTCTCTGTATTCAGGCCATACAGCGGGTCGCTTCCAGGGGACGCCCTAGCATTAACACAATTTCTTAAAGGATTCATGTCATTATTATTCGACAAGTTTTACACTGGCTGTCGACTGCCTAACGCAACCCTCTTTTCAAATTATGAAAATCTAAAAATTAATTAATTTAAATTAATTGAATAATTTAGTTCTATCCCAGTTAGAGGAAAAAGATTCCACAGCCCCAAATATTATGTAATTTTTCCAAAATATTTAATATTTTCTTAAATTTTTACCATTTATATAGAAAGTATAAAAAGTATTAAATAATTCTTATGTTTGATATCTGAGATGCAATAATAGCATCAAGCCTTTATCCCAAGGCTATCCCACTACGTGGGGTTGGCTACATTAATCTTTTTTCTATATTATGTCTTATTAAAAATCAAATTCTCATTTAAATCTAATAAATAAATGTCATTTATAATACTTTCTAACAAAGTCTTTTTTTCCAACCTCTACCTTTCATCACATAGACTAGATCCAAAACTTCTACTCTTCTAGATCCAGGGACAGAGAGATTATATCTTATTGTTAAAATCATTTTTGTATAGATCTAGGGGTCTAGATATGTATTTAGAAGTTCCATTTTTTTTTCAATTTTCATTGAAGTTATTATAAACAAATCAACCGGCTCAATTGCAATGGCTTTTTTTAATTCTTTTACATCTATCACATTATGCTATGTTGATTACTCTTACAATTTTATTATAGTTTTTGTTATGATGTTTTCACATTATTATTATTGTGTGTTTGTCTGGGCTATAGAAGATATTACGATTGACTTTTAGGAAAAAATCTTTTTCATCAACTTTAATAAATCAATAAATAACTTTAAAATTAATTTAGGTAAATATCTTTTTTAAAAAATTATTACTTTCTCAAGCCACTTTTTAAATGAACATTTGCTCTCTTTATATCTCCTGGATGATATACAAGATCGAGCTAGGCAGCAATCAAAGCTTCAACTGTTGGTGCATATTCATAATATAGCTAGTTAAACATGTATAATAAAAGTTGTTTCCTCGCTTCTAAACAAATAACTTTGCATTACATAATATGATTCTTAGGATAGAATTCTTCTATTATACATACTCTTAATATGCTTAGGGATCGTCTTAGTATTTAAAGTAACGATAGTCCTGACCTAGACAGGACTTATTTCTGGTTGAGTAGCTTTAGTTGCGTATAACTAGGCTATTTGATTCTCTTCCTTTTGCCACCAAGAGGATGTTTTCCCAAATATATTTTGAAACATTCATTGTAGTGGACTGTGCAACTTGATTAAATGTCTATATTTTTATTCAGCTTTTCCATTTAATTATGAAGTTTCATGATAAGTAGATTGGTGATTTACTCCTTTTTCTAAGAGGAATGTTCGTAAGTGTTGATTAAAATACTTTTGATGTCAGTTCTAAGAATGTCAAATTTAGTTTAAAATTAAATTTCAATCATGAGAAAAAACGCTTTAATTTTTTGCTCAACTATAATGTCAAGTTAACATTGTAATATGCTCGTTATTGACATTTCTTGTATGTTCTCTCAAACTGCCAGGCTTGCAGCAGATTGGCCAACATCAATGCAAATTGTTCGCCTCATTGCCCAAGATCACATGAGTAACAAGTAAAGTCTTACCTGTTTTTTTTTTTTCCTTAGGATACCATTTTTTTGTCTGTTTTTAGGATCGTCTGATATCAATGTCATTCTCAGTTTTCTTGTGCAATCTGTTTAGGCAATATGTTGGAAAGGCAGATTTCTTGGTTTTCCGGACATTAAATCAGCATGGGTTCCTTACACAATTACAGGACAAGAAGCTTGTGAGTTTATCATTATACCATAATCTTTTTGCTCATTTAATATACCATTTTTCTTTAATGTATGCTACGTTTCTTTTTTCTATGTTTAGTTTGATTTAATGCTCAAGAAAAAAAATCCATTTGACTGGTCAGTTTCTGGCTAAAGCTTGTTCTAATGATCTCATTGTTAAAAATTACTTGCTGAATGATATCATGCTCGAAGCTGTTTACTCTAGTTTGACGTTGCAGCTGCTTGTAAAGACAACTTTAGCATTAAAGGCTGCACACAAACTTTTAGGTGTGGCATTTTAATATAAACTTTGGCATTTTAAGCGTTCTGGAATATTCCTTGTCATCAAAAGTGGTCTTTCTCTATCGATTTACCATGTTTATTTGGTTAATTTTAATATGGATAAATGTACGTGTTTTCTCATGTGGCAAATTTCATGAATAGATCGCATTGACAAATGTCATAACTAGGTTATGATATGTAGATTGGCAGCATAATGACACTGTACCTTTGCTAGACTGTGCAATTTGATCTGAGCAATCCTTTATACTTCTGTCTCTGACACCATTTATAGGTTATTCATATATTTCTTAGTTTTCAGAATTTTTACATTTAAACTAATTTTTATAGCAAATCTTTTTATTTTTTATATTTTCTTGCACATTTTGATTCCATCATCATCTATTTTTACTATTATGAGCTATTTTCTTTGATACTCTTAGCACATATTTGCGATATTCTTAATATCACTAGCTACTTTTTCTCACATAATATTAGCTTCCTCATGCACAGACAAAAACTTCAGATCTAGATAGTTAGTATGATGTAAATGAGTGCTAAAATTAACTTGTACTAAAATTAGAAAGGATATATTGATAATTGATTATTTTATAGGAATGGAGAGGATATTGCTCACTATTTAAGGTAGTGGAAAGTATGCTTAGATGGTTTGAGCATGGACAATGGATGGTTGAAGATAATCCAAATAAATAAGTAGAGAAGATTAGTTTGGAAGGATTAAGAAAAAAATGGGGTAAACTAAAAGTAACATGGCTAGAACTTATGCAAAAAGATTTATGTATAATCAATTTTTAAAATTGCGTATTCGGGTATTGAGGCATTTTTCATTCGTGAGACAAGGTGTAAGCCTCAAGGCGTTGAGGCGTAAGCCTCAAAATTAAAAGATTGCGTAAACATAAAATGATAAATTTTTTATATACTCATGAGTCATGAGTGAATAATATAAAACATAAAAAAGCATAAGATATGAATTGAAATCAAAATATCCCAATAATAAGACAACATGAAATATAGTTCAACTCAAAATTCTATCTTTCCTAAATCCCAGTATTCTTTTCATTAACATATAATTCCAATTTCCAAAAACAAATAGCAATGACATATCACATAAGAACTCATAAGTCATCAACACTGTCATCACTAAGGGGTTCTTCATTTGAATCATAATTATAATGAACTGCTCTCTCACCTTCCTCCTCTACTATAGAGTCCAATGTCGCACATTTACTTCAAGATTTATGTAAGTTTTAATATATATATTGGAATTGCGCAAAAGCGGGCCTCAAGACGAGCCTCATATTGCGCAATTTTAAACCATGTGTATAATAGAGTTTTATTCCTCATACATCACTAAAGAACTGAAAGGACATTGAGGATTCATAAAAGGGACTCTAAATGGTTGAGATAAAGCTAATGATGATGATGAATTATCCTATAGTTTTTTATGTACACTTTTACTAGACCTAAGAGCTACATTCTAAATTGTAATGATTATGAAAATGTTCGTTGTTCATGTGTTAAATTTATCGAGATCATGTGAGTACAATTGGTGAATGATTTTAAAATGTTTATGGGAGAATTGTTATCAGTTCCTTGAGGATTGTTATTTTGTTACATGTTAGTACAGATATTTTATACCTTTCACTTTGATATAATGTCATTTGAGGTGTTCTTACCATAGTGTTAACTAAACATCATTTTTTTGGTTTAACACCGAAGCTTTATATATATATATATATATATATATATAAAATGAA